GTATATATATGTATATATGTATGGAATGAAAGAGATACAGATTGTACTGTCAGCTTACTTATTTTTCTTAAGAGCAAAGTCCACACGTCATAACAAGAAACTATGGTTGTAACTACAGGTCGTGAGCTGTAGTTCCAACCACACAACTTTGCGATGCTATTTTTGAATGTTCGTTGGAACTATGGTTTCGGGAAACGGCAAATTGTTGAACTACGTTGGGAGCAGTGGAACTTGCAACCATATTTGGCTAACGATGCTTTTGGGAAACACACCCCTGTTATGTTGTATCTGTCAATCTGCACAACTACAGATACAGTTTGCACAAACACAGAACCGTTTCTGTGGGTAATTCAGGCTAAACAACACAGCTACAGCTGCAGTAATGGGTCGAAAATTAGGTTAAAAGGCAGCGTCATTCCAAACCATTACACATCGACCAACAGCTGTTAAAAAAATACCCCACTAAAGATCATTATAGTAATTGTTAAACCTTTCAAAATGTTTCTTCAACCTTCTACCTCATAGCAGACACACACAAAACATCCCACTAGAGTTTCTGCCACTTTCTCTAAAGACCTGGCACTTTTCTAAATCCTTGCTGCTCCTGATCTTTTGAAGTTTGATTATTATTAAGAATTTTCATAGTTTATTGGAAACATTTTAAAATACAGAAAAGCTTTTTTTGTATATTTATTCACAATGATACTATGAATATAATAAGTCTGAGATTTCTTTGGTCAAAACAACTAATGATGATACAGTGTATTTATTGAACTATGCATCCACTAATTGCATGTCGCTCACAATCCGTTTTATTTATACTTGATTTAATCTTGATTTATAACTGGTTTAATGTTAAAATAGTCATCAATATTCACTCATTTTTGCATATACAGACAGCATCACTGAATGCATCCTTCTGAACTTGGACACTTTTAAAGGCAGTATCTATCTAGAATTAAGACTAATGTCAAATAATAGATTAGATCTGCATAAAACTCTGGGTTGTCAAAGCCTAACTAGTGTCAAAGCTTAACCAAACACAAGGGCAGTGAGCCCAAAACAGTGTGGCAGGCCTTTGATGGTTTTTTCCCACCTTATATAGAGCGCCTCAGAGAAGCTAGTTACAGCAGCAGACACAGATGGGTCAGCTGGTCTCATCATGGAACATTTATGGTCTGCAGTGCAGCAGTAAAGAGTTACTTTAAGTCAAACATTGACTTAACACTATACAAGGACAAACATTTGGTTCAGCATGAAAGAAAATGCTAGAACTATTGTGCAGCTTTTCTGTGTAGTTGAAATTAGAATGCAAGCCATTTGTTTTTATATCACCCATTGTGGTACATTATAGGTATTTTGTTTGTTATGTAACAATGTGATGCTTAAGACGTACAATACTGCAAGAGAATTAATATGAAGTTATGTAAAAACTGTCAGCACAGGGGTGCATTGGTGTTTCTAGCTCGAGTTCCTCACATTCTTTCACTGACAGTGGCATGTGTAATTCAGTTTTCTATCCACTGCTGGACAATGTCCAGAGAAAATCACTAAAAGGTTAGGAATGATTTTATTTTTGACCATAACATTTCAGTAAACACAGTTCTGCAATTTTTTTATAAGTTGTCTTAAGCTAAAATAAAGAGTTCTATAACCAAAAAGTCTAATATTTTCTTAAATCATAGATGGATAAATCCTGAAAGCAGCATTTTCAGAGAACCGGTTCAACCAAGAAGTGGTGGTTTTATTCCAGATCAGTTAACATTCTTTTCACATTCTCAAGTAGCCTGTAAGTAAAAGCATACATTTAGCCAATTCTTGTGATGGTATGTTTTATCCGCTAAACAAATTTAAAGGGATAGTTCACCCAAAAATGAAAATTCTGTCATCATTTACTCATGCCCATGTCATTTCAAACCTAGAAGACATTTGTTCATCATCAAAACACAAATGAAGATATTAAATGAAATTTCTGTCTCTCCACTGGACTATTTCAGCTAAACTTTGGTCAAAAAGTTCATAAAGACATCATAAAGGTAATGCATATGGATTGAGCAGTTTACTGTATTACTGGGCTCTGTTTGTTTGTTGATCAATGTTTATACATGAATAAACGCCTAAATTAAATCTGTTCATTATGTAAAGTGATCATGGCTCTTTAGGAGACTTGGATTAAATTGCTCTATTCATGTGGATTTCTTTCACAATCTCTTCATGAACTTTTTGAATCGGAACATGTTTGGGTGAAAGGACATTCAATTCTCAGGTTTTGAAGATGAACAATAGTCTTGTGGGTTTGTAACTACATGAGGGTGAGTAACTGAAGACAGAATTTTAATTTTTGAGTGAACTATCCCTTTAATGGAATAGTTCACCCAAAAATTAAAATGAAAAATGTCATAATTTACTCACCCTCGCGTTGTTTCAGACCTGTATGAGTTTCTTTCTTCTGTTGAACACAAAATACTTTGAAGAATGTTGGTAACCAAACAGATGCTGGTTCCCATTAACTTCCATATTACAGAAAAATGTATGTCAATGAGGACCAGAAACTATTTGGTTACCAACATTCTTCAAAATATCTTGTTTTGTGTTCAGCAGAAGAAACAAACTCAAGAAAGAACAACTCCAGGGTCAGTAAACGACAGAATTTTCATTTTTGAGGGGTGAACTATCCCTTTAAGCACTACAGATTCATTTCTGATTTCTATTTATTAATTTATAATGGTATTTCAATGACGGACAGTTTTGACACAAGATCATCATTTATTGCAATGAATTTATTGCAAATACTAGAGAAAACTCTAAAACCTTCACAATCACAAAGTTGTTTTTGGTCCAATAGTCAACATTCTGAAAATACACAGAAGCAGGGGAAAATGTTTATATGTGAAAATGATTTGTTACTGCTTAGTGAAGTTTGAATTATTAGCTCTATGCTACACGTATATGCCATGAACCACTGAGTACTACACAACTGCATAACACACATTCCCTATTAACTGCAGTCAACAGCAGAAAGGCATAGAGCTAAACTAACACTGAGAATTTTAAGGAGAACCACCTCAAGCACTCAGTATTAATGGTTCAGCTAGTGTTGAGGAACAGCCAGAGGAGAGTTATAAATTAAAAGTGAGGACTATGATTTAGGTAAGTGATGTTTAATAAGTTCTAGGAAGGAGAGGTATTCCCACAAACACTTCACGGTCGTAACAATCATTTGCTTTATGCGCCTTCAGAATTAACGGCACCCTGCCGATAATGACGACACGTGGGCTACAAACACAGTGGATGGACATGATCAGTAAAATTGTGCAATTGTGGAGAAGGAAAATAATTTGATTTACATAAATTAAGTCATTCAGATTGTTTCTATCATTTTATCAAACTACTACACTTTTAATAGATATAAAGGGATAATAGCTTTTTGCAAAAATATTCACCATTCAGATTGTGGAAACGTCAAACTAAGTATGTGATATCTTTACGAAAATATTTTTAGTCAAGGGCTGTTCTCTATTTTCAGCTGTATTGCCTCTTGATTTAATACACCATTCCAGGTTACAGGAATATACGTTTACATTTTTAATAAAATCCTCTAGACAGGCACATTTGGTACTTCAAGCTATTCCTGACATATTTCACAGGGTGCTGAGGGCTCACGCGGGGTTGGAAACACTGTAGTAATTGGTTTCCGTGTCGCAGAAGCGTGACCTAAGCACTGCAAACAAACAAAATTTTTGTCTCATTCATCGGTGTACTTCCATCAACTTCCTTCATGGTCATCCAGCAGCTGCTCTGAACCAATAGAAATGGATGAAAACTGGTCCTCGAAATTCAGGAAAGGGTGGTTGTAATCTTTTTCGAGCATTTTCTTCCAGATTTTAACTGAGAAAACACAAGCAGAATAAATAAGTGAATCCAAATGGAGGGAGTGGATAATTCTTATAAATGAAAATTAGTTTTCACATCACACATGTAACAAATGATTTGCACTTTAATGATGTTTTAAAAAACTCATTGTAGCTGATTATTCAATCAATATTTGGCTACTTTGTAAATTGCATTCTTTTTTATTTATTTTTTTTATAAAAAAATATTGTTACAGTTTAAAGGGGATATGATGCAATTTCAATTTTTCCTTTCTCTTTGGAGTGTTACAAGCTCTTGGTGCATAAAGAAGATCTGTAAAGTTGCAAAGACTGAAGTCTCAAATCCAAAGAGATATTCTTTATCAAAGTTAATCTATTTGGATACATTTTAAAATGTAATTTATTCCTATGATTGCAAAGCTGAATTTTCAGCAGCCATTACTCCAGTCCTTAATGTCACATGATCCTTCAGAAACCATGCTAATATGCTGATTTGATGCTCAACAAACATTTCTTATTATCAATGTTGAAAACAGTTGTGCTGCTTAATATTTTTATGTAAACCATGATGCATTTTTTTCAGGATTCACTGATGAACAAAACTTCAAAAGAAGATAATTTTGAAATAGAAATGTTTTATAACAAGCTAAAAGTCTCTACTGTCACTTTTGATCTGATTTTATCTTTTTTTTTTTTCCAATGTTTTTTTATCTCATGTTACACATATCAACCAACCACCATACAGATATAATTTTACAAAAATGCTCTTGAGTCTATACATACATGGCTAACATACCTATAAACAAAGCAGCTAAGTTAAACATTTACATATTTAACAGTTAATGGAGTAGTTTAACAGAATAGTTAACTAAAAGGATAATGAAATTGCAGTACTGCATGCAAAAGTAATAAATTCATGCTATTTTTACGTCTTTATTTAGGACGTACTGTACTCTGGCTCTTCAGTTCCAGAAGGTTCTCTTGATGGCTCCGCCTCCTGTTGCTCCTCCTGCTCTTCCGGTGATGCAGCCTCCAGATTTGCAATCATCACCTCATAGGCCGTCCTGGCCTCAGCCGATAACTCAATCATTTTGTGATAGTGGTCCTGTGGGCATCAAATAAAGAGAAATCAGCGAAGTGCACCGAATTAGATATCTACCACAACTATAACCAGAAACTTCTGGTACTTACCTGTGCGCCATCATAGTTAAAGATGCCCACCAAGCTGACAGGAACAGCTTTATTAACACAGCGGCCCAGCGCCTTCCGTGACAAGGCAAACACAAATGGGATGCCTTGATCCCGGCATGTGTCGATGATCGTGTGAAGAGCCTCATCTAGACCGCCTACATTAACACAACAGGCCCTCCATCAGCAACAATTACAGCAGCAATATGAATGGAAATGTGAGTTCGGTGCTGTAAACTCACTTTACCTTTGGACTGAATACGTTCACAGTTGGGCGAGATGATGACGCACTTGACCTTCCTAAGTTTGAGGTGTTTCAGCACCTCTCGTAGGCCCATGACCAGCCTGCGCTTCATCCTGGCCTTCATGGGGTCTTTCTGAAAAAGACGATCCTGAAACCTCACCAGCTCCTTCAGTAAGCTGCTCACACATTCATCTACATCTTTTCTAAGCACCTGGTTGCAGTAGCTGTAGAATTAGCACAAAGAAATACATCATCTATAAATTAATATCAACAACAACAAAAACAACATTATTATTATTAATATAGTATTATTATTAATTAATATAATTTTAATTAATTTATTATTATTATTATTATAAATTATTGTTATTACTACTCAAATTAATTTTTTATCACTTGAAAATTAGGCATTCATTTAAATCACAAATTCAAGCCTTTTTGGGAACAATACAATCGTTACAGTTTCTTACTCTCTGAACTTCCTGCTGTGGATTTTGGGAAGATTGGGATTCCAGGATTTTAGTGTTGCATTTTCTGACACGCTGTCATCCAACTTGTGATGAGATGGTGAACCAGGCTGGCCACTCTCTGACTCCTCAGTCCCAACGAGTCCAGGCATCTCATCTATGTCTGATGACAGTTTCATTGTACATATAACAAAAACACTGATGCTACCAAGCTACACAACACTAAAACTTTTCATATTCTGATCAACCTCAGTAATTGCCTACAATGATCACATTGTGATCACAGTGCTGTAATATATTACAGTGTTTCATACTTGTGTGAAGATGTTGGTCATGGTCAGCGAGGCTTGTTTCAGAAGGATTCTCACTAGTACTGGTTTCGTTTTCACCAGCTTCAGTGGCCACTCGGATCGGGTCTCTCTCCTCCAGCAGGCGGCTCTGTTTCCTTTCCTCTCTCTCCCGAAGAATGACCTCAATTGTTCAAATTGCAAAACATCTTTAAGAATGCTGATCAAATACGGATTCAAAATTCACAGGAATTTTGTAATTTCTGCACCAAATATAAATGACGCTCCAGTTGTGTTTGATGACACCAGTGGCACACAAAATTCTCACACCACAACTTTAGGTGGACACTGGACTCACTCTTTTGAGTGGTGTTGGTTTCTTCGCCTTGGGAACTTCTCGCTGTTTTCCCTTCTTCACTAATGGACAGGTGGAGTCCAGCGGGTTGTGCGGTGTCTTCTCTTGCTGCCATGGCTTTTTCTGAACTGAAGGTTCTTTGTGGACTACAGGCAGAGCTCCTCCAACTAACACACCAGCAATATTAATTGTTTTATTACACATAGTGAGTAACATCATAGTTTCCTACAAAGTCTTTAAATGCATAAAAGAGTATCGACTTGCATATTTCAGCCAAATACCTGAAAGTGTTAGTGGTCGCTGGTCTTGTGTGGATTTTTGAGACTGTTGCTTCTGCTCAAGAACGGTCAGCATGTTTCCAAGGTCAAGCTGTACAGGAGCTTTTGACTTCTTCTGACTAGTCTGCTGAGATAAGATGGGATAAGAAGCAATTACAATGTGTGACCGTCTCATTTCTTAGACAAAATATTTAGTCATTAATTTTACATTCGGATTTACTGTACATCCTTTTAGATTTGATGGGGTTTAAACATCGCACTGGGGAAACATATCAACCTGTGTTTTCTTAGTGTCACTGGAGGAAGAAGCGGGTGTAGTGGCTTTGTGTAGGGACAATCCCTCTTTTTGTGCTACTGAATGTCCTTTGAGTTCCTGAATCAATATAATTACGGATGATACAATTAACAATTAAGGTGCATATTTCAGTCTTTGAAATTCAAACATTTTATATAAACTGCTGGCATGGTGCTCAGGCCAAAAAAATAAACTCACAGATGCATGTGATAGGTCTGGAAACTCTTCTTCATCCTCCAAAATAAATAAATAAAAATAAATAATATACAAATAAAAAAATAAAAATAAAAAACACACACAAAACAGTGAATAAGCCTCTAAAATAGTTTGTTTCATGCTGCATTTACAAAATACAACAATAATGTACAATTACAACAGAATATATAATGATTGAATTTACAGCCCCTTCATAAATTGGATATAAACATAAAAAAATCAAAACACACTTGGTGTGCATTTTTTTTATTTGTCATTGTGTAGAAGTTAAATAATTTTGCTTTTTTTTTTTTTTTTTTTTTAAAGAAAATGAGAAATTACTAAAGTAGTCAAACCTGTTCATTAGAAGGGGGTGTCCCAATACTTTTGGCAACTCTTCTTCATCCTCCAAAATAAATAAATAAAAATAAATAATATACAAATAAAAAAATAAAAATAAAAAACACACACAAAACAGTGAATAAGCCTCTAAAATAGTTTGTTTTAGTTTACAATAACTGATTTATACAGCAATTTATTTCCAACAAACAACAATTTAAACACGAAACTCCTAAAATCTAATTTCAGAAAATATCAAATCACAGATTTGACAGATTTCACCTCAAACTTTGGAGGCTCTTGCTGTATCAGATGTTCCTCTAGTGTTTCCTCTGTGTTCTCAGATGCTGTTTTGGATTTCTTCTTTTTCTTCCTCTTCTTCTTCTCTGTCTGCTCAACTGGCTGCGTAGTTAAATCCTCCTGGATACAGTAAAAATAAAAATAAAAAGCATACATTGTGTCTATTTTGTATAGTACATGTTCAAAATGCTGATCAACAGTGCAGCAGTTTACCTGAGACAATCTGTTGGCTTTAGGGCTTTTCTGGATGACTCTGGGAGGCTGAGAAGCAATGTTTGCCCAGGACTGAGCAGAAGATCCAGTGGGATTGGATTGGTCCTGATCTAAATCAAATTGGGCTTTAAACAATTTGATGCATTTAATACTTTTAGGATCGATTTTTAACTTAAAAATCTAATTTAAAAAGATTTACAACCCACTTCTGTAATATGATGCATTTCCCAGTGAAACGGAATATTCAATAAGAAAAAAACAACAACAAAATAATGGTGTGTTCAAGTCATGTCATAACGATCATGTTATGACGTGACATTA